TAAGATCTACCACCGATTCCTAGTCTTGACTACTTCAAACTAGGGGAACAGGATTTTTCAGTAATCAAAGGAACACATCTTAGTCCATGTTACTTTTTATGCCTCGTTGATAGTGACAATACTCGGCTTTGTCCACCGAGGATGATCTTGAAACAAGGAAAAAATGAGTTAGTTAGTCTTCATATACGTGATTCCTAATCTTCTATTCGTTGTTCCCTAGCTTGAAGTGATTAAGACTAGGGTTCTGATGCATGGTCATTATCGGTGTCATTCCTTAATTTTGTTGCTAAGGAATCCAATTTTGATTGACAAAGGGGCGCGCCTTTGGAGGGTGTTCTAACACTCCGAAGGGTATAAATAACGAGACCTTTCAATTAGAGTCGGATCCTTGCGAAATGACAACTGTAAAAAAAAATCGAGAATGACAACTGTAAAAAAAAATCGAATACTTCATCATTTATTAATAGTGATGGAGTAATACGACATGTACTAAACTAAGGACACGGGATAAACTACTATAGAACAAAGGAAAAAAAATCATTACTGATGAAAGTGTGTTAGAGAGTGTATGTACAGTATATTTTTTCTGTTCAAAAGTGTGTGCTTGTCCGGTAGGTTCTGAAAGACAGGGTGATTACCCTTCTGTTAAAAAAACCAATCGATTTCTCTCTTATCATTGTCACTCAGTGGACAATAGTAACAGTAATGTTTATTTCAAATATTAATATGAATATGTAATGAATTTTATTAGATTACGAATTTATCAGCAGTTTTAGACATATTATTTAACTTCATAAGGCTCACGTGCGTCGAATTCGACTTACAGTTGCGTTCCATTCACTCAAATTCTAAAAAACGCAGGTCACTCGAAGACTGAGTAAAATTTTCCTCGGTTTTCTGGGAAATATGTTTCGAATATGAATAAAATCGAGAAATATTTTACTCAGTCTGTTAGTATACTCTTACACTGAGTAAAATTTTGGTCGATTTTCTTCATATTCGAGCAGATTTATGAGGAAAAGCGAGGAACATATTACTCAGTCATGAGTGAGCTACATGTGTGCGATTATGAGTGAAAAACCACTCAATTTTGAGTCGATTTCATCGGCTCTGTATTAAAATTCCGATCAGGCCCTTCGGACTATAGATACTATAGATTCCATAGATAAGAAGAGGCACAAAAAAAATGTTTCGGCATCTTAAAAAAAAATTAACTTACTGCCATTCGTGACAAATTTCTAGGCCATCATAGCGCTCTTCGTTGTCCAGTTTAGTTTTGTTTTGTTTTCTTTCGTGCGCAAAACTTCAAAATTAAGTTCAAAGCAAATCTTTGCAACAATTAATCGAGCAGTGGTTCTTCCGTTTTTGTGGAGTATGGAAAGCGTTTTGTGCTCATAATTTTACATAACTTCCCCCGCAAAAAAACATTATTATGACGTCATGCTCGTTTTGCTACACTGACAGTTTGTTTGGCTACATTCTACTTTGCCTCCGCTTATCTTTGGAATCTATCCAGCTTTCCATGCTTGGTAATGGCTGCCTGTTTGTATGAATAAATGTACCCTTCACTGTGTTTTTTGACAGAAAACATCAGACAGAGAAAACATGAACATGAATGGTATCAAACCTCACTCTCATTTTATCCCCCTTCGCTCACAAGCTCTGAAGCTCAGTGGAATGATTTGGCAGTAGGAAATCTACTCCTCAGAAAAATGCTACGCTCGGCTCATTTCAAACTCGCGAGCGAGGCTCCATCAAGCTTGCCGGTAGCTCAATCAAGTTTCCAGTGCTTCAACGGTTTTGGATAATTTCAGAAAGATGTTCATTTGTATGCCTTCCAATAACTTCTTACCTGTTGTTGGAAATATTTTGACAGAATTCTGCTGGTCTTATAGTAAAGGTTGAATTCAATAGGGAGAGAGAGAGATAACTTTATTAAAGAAATTCAAGAGGAAACTTTCTATAGCGCACCAAAACCAAAGATTAAAATTTGCAAGCATTTCAATAGAAGCTACTGTTAGTTCTTGGTAAAGTTTAATAGCACTCAACGCTGCCAAGAATATGCTAATTTTCCGACAATATCAGCCATTGCCAGGTTGATAACCCGGGTAATTGAACATTACTCAGCCATACAGAATTATGATCTTTATAACAAAAAATATATGCATTAGCATGACATCAGAGGAAACATATCATGAAATAATTTCAGAAATAGGTTCTAGCAATATTGTTTCAAAACCAGATTAAGCAATTAAGGCATCAACTCATTAAAAAAGTATTTTATTTTATTTTATTTTGTCCGGGTCATAATAACTGCGACCAACACATTTATATGATGTGATATTGTGTTATGGTTGTCCTTTGTTAAGTGCATGTCATAGTGTCTTATTACTATGGAAAAGTAATGAGGTACTCGTTTTCGATACAGTTAAATCATACTTGCTCTTCTCACAAGAAGCCTCATTTAATTGTAATGTTCCGCATCATTCGAAGTGTGCTGGGACCTTTCCAAAGATACGCCCTCTAATCAATCAAAAATGGTCGCTGGAAAAATTTGCTGGTGCTTTGAAATTCTTAAGGCCCACACCCACACACACACACACACACACACACACACACACACACACACACACACACACACACACACACACACACACACACACACACACACACACACACACACACACACACACACACACACACACACACACACACACACACACACACACACACACACACACACACACACACACACACACACACACACACACACACACACACACACACACACACACACACACACACACACACACACACACACACACACACACACACACACACACACACACACACACACACACACACACACACACACACACACACACACACACACACACACACACACACACACACACACACACACACACACACACACACACACACACACACACACACACACACACACACACACACACACACACACACACACACACACACACACACACACACACACACACACACACACACACACACACACACACACACACACACACACACACACACACATTGCATTAATTAATGATACGTTGGGGGTAAATCTAATAATAATAGGCATTTATTAAACACTCAGGTCATTCCTTCGATTTTCAGGACTATAGAAATCCTATTCAAGAAAAACCATGTATAAGTAGTTGTGAACCGGCTTGTTTCGGTGTAAAATACTGCTTTTTATAACAATTTCTCTCGGGAGCATCAGGGTTATCAATAAATTATTGATAGTTGATTATGCGAACACCAATTTCATCACAACAGTTAATCGTTGGCAACCACATATTAAATTTGTTCAGCGTTTAGACTAACAAAACCAAAGTTAGAGCGATACAAGGGAAATCCCATTTTTTCTTCCTTGATTTGTTTTCCGACTATCTTGTTTTTTCGTGCTGAGCACCAATGCTACCGACGCCAAGCAGGTAGCTCCCACACCTGGACCCTTCCTATCGACCCATCAACTCATGAACCAAGGACCCAACGGCTTTACTTCCCTTCTCAAATACAGCCATCGCCTATCGACGATGTAGGTTCACCCACAACACTGAATTGAAATAGGAGAGAAAATTTATGACCCTCCAATGCAAAAGTGTGTTGATTAATGGTGCTCTTCGTATGCACTTTATCTGAGTAAGGGTTGCAGCACAATGTAAGCGGAGAATGCAGATAGGTACATCACTCACCATCGTGACGCGCTGCTTTCAGCTCGTCATCGTGATCGATTGATTGGTGGCAAGCGATTTTTGGTTGTACATTGCTCTTCCATAGTTTTCAAGCCTAATGGACTCTTTTGCGAAAGGGTTCACAGTCGGTATTGTTTTATCTCTTCAATCGATTTGATTTCAGTTCGCTTGTTTCACCCGCTTTATCAGCCAGGGTGACGGAATAAATACGCAGCACTAATTTCCCTCCTGTATCTACCAACTGAATTTATGTGCCTTATGAATAATGTATAGTGAAACACTATTTTCTCTCGCTAGCTATCGTGCCTTATGGCTGCAATCGGAATAATTAATTCCCGTCAAATCGATATATCATCATGCTTCCTGATTCCACTTCGGGCAAGCGGACACACACAGGGATGTATCTAAGATTTTATGAGATTACATTTGTGTTTGTTCTTAACTGCGCCGTGACTTCAGTCCTGATACCTTACACTACCTATTCTGCAGTGAGATATCAATGTGACGTAAATCCATTTAGTGAATTAGTCAGAAAACAGATATTTTTGTATAAACTCGCAATGGTTGCGAAAATCATCGAAATTATTACTGAACCTGTTTAATATGATCTAAACAAAGCCAAAGTATGAACGTGTTTTTGGGTGTCATTGATTAAGGTGTTAAAGATTTTTGGGTGTCATTAAGGATGCATAACTCGAATATGGTGAAAAGTTGAAATTGAACATGGTGGCGCTTACGTCACTTTCTCATTCCACGACAGTATTGCAAAATGAAGTGCTTTCATGCACTCTACGAAAAATGCTTATAAATGTAGGTCATATATCATGCACTGGCATTAGCGATTGTCACGTGTGACATTAAATTTAATCAGTTCAATTAAACGTACTTTTCCTCGAGTTGCACATTTTTCGGAGAACATAAATAATATTGCATGTCTTCTTTGTTTACGTTGGATTCCATCGTGTGAAAAGATCAATTTTTCTCTGTGCGTGCAGCTTTCCATCCTCGAACGACCAAGCATACTCTCAGAAAGTATCCTGTAATTTATACGACGGGAATAAATTTACACCAATTCAATTAATATTAATATTGATTGTATCCATCCCTGAATAGAGAACTCCACTTTCCGAGAGCATTATGAATACATACCAGCATCATCTCTTGCACTTCATCAATCCACGTTCATATACCTACCATACACAAAATCATTCACGTCCGATGAGTATCTTCGCAATTTAAATTTCACGCATAATTTTCTTCTTCCCACAGCTTGTGGTGGCGTGTCTAGTGGGGATCACATTAGCCCAGCAGGACTACCAGCAAGAGTACCGGCCAGCCCCGCTGCGGATCGGCACCAATGCAGCAGAACCAAAGCCAACGCCGATCCCGATTCTCAAGCAGATCAACAGGTAATTAATTGATTGGCAACCCTGTGAGCCCTTTCCCTCTTGATGGAAGGTGTTGGTGCCACCAGCTGCGGATCACTAATCTAATACTTTGCCACTAATTATGCTTTGTGTTGTGAAAGGCTAGTTAATTTTCCAGTTTCATGCAAGCGGAATAAATTCCGTATGATTGAGTCATAACCGTTAAATGCTAATACTTTTAAAACCGGATTCAATCATATGATTAAAAGATTAAAATTTCCACTCTTACAGATTCACTTAATCAAAGTACTGCATGATGCGTCCGCTTGCTGCCATTCATTCTTTCTCCTTCTGTCTTTTTTTGCTGGATGCATGTTTCCATTAAACTAACACCTCCCGGCACCACCGATCCAGTGGGAGTGTGGCTCTTTTGTCTTTGTGTTCCTAAACCCGGTTTTCGTTTCATTACTTCTTCTTTCGAAAAAGTGACCGTGGTAGCCGGAAACGATGCTTCCTTATGGCCGGAAACAGCTGCAAGTCACATTCTAGTAACAATACACGCTCCAATTACCATCTCAAAGGCTCGCGTGATGACGCTGAGGAGCAAAAGCTGCAAGCCCGAAAACAGAACCAGCAACAGACAGGAGGAGAAAGCGAAAGTGTTGGCACTGGACCCACAGGCAGTGGCTTTGTTGGTGGAAAGAAGTTTAACAAAAAGTTTTAAAATGTTGGCAGGATGTTATGTTTACTATGTAAATATGTAAATATTTACTCTAGCAGTTACAATGTTGCTCAAACTATCTCTATGTCAAGCTAAAATGTAGCTTTATATTGATCCAAACAGAGTGCTTACAAATCATACAGTATAGGAAAAGCTGCCATACGTCGTTTTAACTCTTTTAAAATTTAATTTTGGTTTAAAAGCTGCATCACAGTATTTGTCTTACATTTATCTCAGTATTTAACTAACATAATAAAACTGGATTGAATCAAAACTTTTTTCAAGTCATTATATTCCCTTTATGTATTAAGTTGGTGACTTTATGAAATTCATATAATGATGTCTAGTTATTGTTTAGTTATTGATATGTATTATTTTACATGATACAATAATTGCAACGTAAGTAAAAAAAAAACGCAGTTCAGTAAATGTAGTGGCTGATATAAGGTGGAAATCATGTTTTAAAACGCAGATTATATAAGATGTTTTTCTAATAAAAGGTAGAAGACTTCATAACGTTGATTGTTTCATGTTTTTTGTCCAAACTAATACCTACTTATACTTACTCATACCTGTATTATATTGTCCATATTATTATTAAACTATTGTCGTGATATTTGAAAATCATTATTAGTAATTATTTGTTCACCCAAATTTGCTTACCGGAAGGTGGGTCAATTAATCTGTATTTTCGCTAAATCTCAATATTTTGTCGTACAACTTTTATGAAACGGTAACCAATACAGTTATAGTTTAAACGTATTCATTGAATTTATTTAAAACATATTATATTAAAAAATTTAGTCGAAGTATGACGATTTTTTTTTAATTTGGCCGTTGGTGCTTACAACACAGACACATATTTTTTAGGAAATTGTTTGAACTATTTGAAGTTCCTAGCACTATCTGGTGAGTACATTCTTTATCATTTCAAAACGATTGATAAGACTCGAATCCTATAAAGAAAGTATGCTCCCTTATAGCTTCCAGCAAAACTCGTTAAAATCCGTAAACGGCATTGAACTATTACGATTTTAAGTAAACCGCAATTTTCTGTATCCCAACTATTACAAAGCTTTTGAACAAGAGTCCAAACAAGAGTATTGACTTAAATATTAGATTTGTAATCCAAAATGCTGTAAAGATATCACTTTGTCAAAATAACAACAAAAAACTGAATCACCAAAGGCCAGAGTGACATTTTTTTCGTTCAACTTTGACTAATTTTTTTTTATAATAAATTCAATGAATACGTTTCAAACATAATTGAACTGGTTAGAACTTTAAAAATTGTAGGAACAAATATTGAGATTTTGGTTGAAGTGGTTGCATATCACTTGACTCACCTTATATAATGTTATATCCTTTTCGAAAACTTTCAATGTCCTTTATGCATGTTCCTTTAAAAAAAATAATATCCAAACTGTAAAACACAAAACACAAAAAACAAAATAAAGCAAGTCAACAGATAATGCAGCTTAAAAATCAAAACGTACATAAGCTTCATTAAACGCATTGACCATGGACTGTAGTTTCCTTCGGTTTTGCCCGACCAAACTAACAAGCTGCCAATATATTTCGTACCTTTTAAAAATTCTTACCGTGTTAGCGCTGTTCGTCAGCTTTTTTGGCTTTGCGAACAACTTAAAAATGCTACGACAGTAGGTAATTGACCTAAGGTTTCTACAGATTTTCCAGAGTCCTTAAAACCAAGAGCCTGTATTCATCATCCCAAATATAAAACTTAGGTTGTTATAAAAATACATCTTTAATGTTCACTCAGACTCAGGCTCAGACTTTTTTTGTATGTCACTGAAGTTATCCAGTACCATACCATGCAGCATGTACTAATTTGTAGTACAGGAAGCCATCCAGTACCATACCATCCAGAATGCATCATAAATCAACTATTGCATACTTCACGGCGTAAATGGAGCAATTGTGCTAAACTAACTTTTAAATCAAATCTTACAACCATTAATGATATTACATATAATTTAACCATGTATGGTGGGAAAACCAGTGACAAACCATTCCAGTTCTTCATCTAGAATATTCTAGAATATCTAAACAAGACATTTAAACATTAAGTGTCTGGATGTGGTCCATGGTATGATGTCTATTTACTTCTGCATGAAAAATCATAAATTTTGAGCTGTCGGACGATACCAATACATGACGTTTTGGAAGTACCCCATTGGAACCGGTTCCAGGCAACCTAAATGGCCTAATTGGAGAAATCCTGGGCAGGATGCTATTCTTGGAACCTTTATCTTTCATTTGAGACAAATTATCAAGAATCGGTGATTTTCGGGAGCGAGTTGCAGTCTGGGTCTTTTTGACGTAGAACTACGTCTTTGTCGACTATACTGGGGTGCAAATCAAAAAATATGTGTGGTGAAGGAGTGTTAGGTTTTGAACGCTTGTAACTTTGTCATTTATAGATGAAATTAAAATCTAAATACGCCAACCGATAGGATATTACATTACGAACCTGTTGAAATAAATATTTTTCCAATTTTTCTGTATTTAAATTATTGAAAATGTACAAATGATAATTTTATCACTGATTTCATGAAATAAGCCTTTTTCCCAAACCCAGTCATCATAAACGAATACCACTTGGTTGCACATCATTCTGCTTGAACCTGAAAAGATATAAATCAGCGCTGCTCTCATGTCTCTGCTCATTACCACTTCGAACGGCGTGGCACTAGGTCCTGCATCAAGCAGGACTAGGTCAGCGGCTAAAGGTGGATCGCGGCGTGTCCACCACAATGAGGAATGAGACTTGAAAAAACGTGCATGTAAAGGAATGAGACTTGAAAAAACGTTCATGTAAAACCCCCTCCCCCTTAACAATAACCCGAAAAAGACATGGACCTTGATTATCACTTTTTTCCGCAAAATAAATTTTAAACAAACCCCAATTATTCGAAAAACAAGTTTTTCCCCTAATTTCTTCCCACACCGAAACTTTCAAATTTGACCACAAATTGCTTGAAAAACATGTTCGATGACATTCAGTTGGTGAATTACACACAACTGACGGTGAAACATATCTGGTGCCTCTATTAATGCAATTATATTAACATCCAAAGTCCATCCTATTTTACATATTCTGCACAAAAGAAACTTTCTGCTCCGCCCCATTCATAAAAACTGTGGGAAATCCTATCAGGTTCTGAACCGGAAAAGATATAAAACAGCGCTGCAGTCATGCTTTTGCTCATTGTCACTTCGGACGGCGTGGCACTTGGTCCTGCAGTAAGCAGGACCAAATCAGCGGCTAAAGGTGGATCACAGCGTGACCACAATGAGGAAAAGTTATGTATGTAAACACCGTCCCCCTTTCACAACAACCTCTCCCCCTCCCCCCTTCACAACAATCTCTCCCCTCCCCCCTCAACAACCTCTCCTAACCCCCCACTCATCAACAACCTTTCCTACCCCCCCCCCCCACTCATCAACAACCTTTCATACCCCCCCCCCCACTCACCAACAATCTTTCCGTACCCCTCCCCCCACTCATCAACAAAACAACCTGTCCTTCCCCCCCCCCCCCCCCCCCCCCCCCAAATCCCATACCTGGGTTGTTGCAACGTGATCAACAAATCAATATCTATGTGTCAGCCACATACTTAATATATGTACATATAAAAACCATGCGTGACCACACATACTATTCATTTGCGTATAAATTTCATGTGTACTTCTGAGTGGATTCTGTTTATGTGCGGTTAAATGAAAATCATGTGGAATTTCACATGGATATTTGTCAAGAAAAATGTGTAAATTGTTTTGAGTCAACCATAACCGAAACATTGAAATACTTGAAAATTTTAAGAAAAAGTATAATAGTCAAAAATGCATGAAAAATATCAATTTTGTGTGGTTCTACGTCATACTGCGGTCGTGTCTAGGACACAACCCTTTAATTTTTTTTACCCTAATGCACAGTGTGTCACTCTTTCTATAGTGCTGAAAGCTTATTTTAACAGAAAAATGTTTGTTTCCGAAGTTGCAGCTATTTTTAAAAAAGACCCTAATGCACTAGGAAGGTTAAGCTTAACTTGTTCCTTTTGGATATGATTTCTAAATACAGTGCATTTTTGTTGATGTTAAATGCAATCTAATCTTATCGATCTGATTAGAGATCCAAAAATAATATTGGTCGTAATTTCCATTTGGCGATCAGTCCTTCAAATGGCCAACATCGTTCAAATCCAACCATCTGTTTAAATCAGATCGATTCTGAAGTGTCGATACCATCCTTGGAATAAATATCAACTTCACGAAGCTTCCTGTTGAGCATAATGAG